CATAGCAACACCCTAGCAACCGCCCCGGATACCCTAGCAACTGCTCTAGTAACCACCCCAAGTACCCTAGCAACTAACCCAGGTACCTTAGCAACTACATAGCAACACCTTAGCAACGTCACCTGTATCCTATCTATCTATCTATCTATCTATCTATCTATCTATCTATCAGGAGTTTGGCTAGAAACACAAACGTTACAGTCTCTCAATGAGAATTTAACACAAAGTTGCTGTACTGTAAGTCACTAGACAATTCGCTAAAATAAATAGAGTTTTAACAAAACTATAAAAATAAACAGAAAATAATTTAAATACAGCCTTTCAGATTTTTTTGTGAAAAAAAAAAAATCTCACATGTCTCCTTTAGAGTTTTCAAGTTTACACATCTCAGACTGTCTACATTATCTATCCGCACTTATTTTATAGCTCTATACACCTACTACATGTTAAAGATGGTCTTAGCTGCACCTTGTTATATTTCTCCAAAAGAATTAAAGAGAAAACTGATACTAAAATGAGAACTCCATATGAATAACATTTTGCAAAAAACACAATTTGAGCAATAATTCAAAATGATATTAGCAAAATAAAACAGCACATCTGTAAAATCAATCAATGATTGGACAATACAAATACTGTGACTGCTTCTAAAACAACACAAAGGTCACTGGGAAAACAAAAATACATTTTGAAAATCCTTTATCACAACATTACACAATCACTGCTACAGGAAGACAAAGAAAAAAACAAAAACTACCCGTCTACATTCACATTTAAACACGAAGAGTTTGCAATGGACCTGGCTTCATAACCTCTCAGAGAAAGCTCTGATGGAGCATTTGATGTGTCCGAAATAGAGAGGGAATTCAGTGAATCTGACTTCCAAAAAGCTTTAGGATCTAATGTTAATTTTAGACCCGTCTATAGAGGAAATGCCAGTTCAAGACCATTGCAGTTATGTTTAATTCAATCAGAAGCTCCTTCTGACAGATTAAACCTTCACAGACGTGTTACACACCTGGACAAGGCTCAAGTTCTTCATCTCCATCTTCTGAGAGAGGAATGAGAGAGGGAAACATCAGAGCGCACATGCAACTCAACCACGCATGTCATTTACATGATCATGCGTGTCGCCTGCACTCAAATATAACAACAGCACAAACTGTGTCATATTCAGCCAATGGGGTAATGGAACGGAACAATGTTGTGATAATGTATAACAATCCCTAAAAAAAACGACAATAATTCACACTAGAAACACTTTTGACAAGTGAAATGACAAGCTTTGTTGTCTCCTACTTGACACACCAGTTCAACAGTCAATCATCAAGGAGGCTCCGCCCACCCGTGGGGGGAAAACAAAATTTGTTACCATATTTACCCATTAATTCAAATGTAGACAACACTGATTCCAAGAAATTTGGCTATTTTATGAGAAAGAAACTCATAAAATGTTATTTTCCGTGCAGAAATCAAATCAAAATGTGATTAAAAAAAATATATATACATTTATTATTTATTTGGCTTTAAGTCGATGTTGTACATGAAACAGAGATTACTGGAGTAATCTTTTTTTTTTTTTTTTTAAGAAACAAGAAAATACTTTTTCTATTTCAAAATTTCACATTTATTGGATGTGTTATTTATTCATTTATTTATTTATTTGCAACCATTTGTAAAACTGTTGACAACAAATATTTTAGCATACTTTTACTGTATAAGTAAAACTTTATAATAAGTCCCACCAGTAACTGTTAGTTAATTTTTTAACTAACATTAACTGACAATGGAAATACATTTGTTCAAATATTTATTAAGCACATTTAATAAAAAAAAATAAAGTACCTCAGGTCCATTAAATAATATTAAGAGATCCTTTTGATTTTAATAATATATAAGTAAATAAAAAGAGTTAGTTCACCCAAAAATGAAAATTGGCTTGTGTTTTACTCACCCTCGAAACATCCAAGGTGTATATTAACAACAGCACAAACTTTCTTACAAAAACGCATCGATTCTCTACAAAAGGCCTTTGTTCACCCCCCGGAGCCGTGTGAGACACTTTTTTTTTTCTATGGATGGGCGCATTTTAATTAACTGCTTTTGGACGGATGCATGCAACACCCGCTGAGTGCCATGAAACAGCTTGAAAGATCAAAGACAATTTTTAATATAACTCCAACTGGATTCGTCTGAAAGAAGAAAGTCATATACACCTTGGATGCTTCGAGGGTGAGTAAAACACGAGTCAATTTTCATTTTTAGGTGAATTAACCCTTTAACTAAGATGCCTGAGACGTATTTTTCATTTAAGATTCATGTTAACTAAAGTAGTTACCCAATGTTAAAAATTGCATTTTATAATTATAAAAGTATATTTTTATTCTCCAATTCTTATTTCAACAGAAAATACATCAATGCTTTTTAGGCAAGTTTTTCTTTCTAAAAACAGTCAAATTCTTCATGTCCCCAGTTGAAATGAACTGTAACTGGGATATGATGCATTGCTGACTGTAACTATAGCAAAGCACTACATTTGCAGAGTCAGTCATTCTGCAATCCCACCTCTCAGCATGAGCAAGAGCCAACAAAAAAGAAGCTGCACAGAAAAACAGACTTACTTCTTTCCAGCGTCCCTTTTGGAGGCAGTTGTGGGAGCTGTCGTCCTCTCCTGCTGTTCACAGGGGTCCCGGTAGGGCTGGTCTGAACCGATCCTCCACGAGGATGCGCCCTAGTAGACAAAAAAAATAATCCCCATTATTATGGTTGTTATGTGCATGCTACCCTGAACACTGACAGTGACAGCGCTAGCAAGAAACTGCTAATCAACACAAAGCAGCATAATAGGACATTAAACAAAAAGGCATAAAGAGATTTCAGAGTTGGTCTATGAAGAATCAGCAAATGAAAATATGTAACAATACATTATAAATAAATAGGGTTAAAAAGCATGTGCTGAAAAGGAGTGGTTTAGTCAGTCATATATATGATATTTCACATATACATGTGCTGTAATATCATGCACATCCATTTGAATGATGCTGAGGATTAAAATAACAGTAAACAAACATCATGATTTTCCATCAGCATTTTGTATGAACTAAAACAAAATGATTTCATAATCACATAGTACTATATATACGGTAAGCGAATTAATAAATATGATTTTTGTCTGTTTTAAACATCACTGTCTTAATAGTCAAATCCTCAAAATACAAGATATGCAGTATAATAATATATAATGAATTAATAATAAGATTAACACTATTCAAAATATTAAGGCAGGTAAGGTTTTTTAAAGAAGCCTCTTATGCTCATCAAGGCCGGATTTATTTGATAAAAAATACAGTAAAAACAGTAATATTATGAAATATTTTTACAATAACTGTTTTTCATTTAAACATATTTTAAAATGTAATTTATTCCTGTGATCAAAGCTGAATTTTCAGCAGTACTCCAGTCTTCAGTGTCACATGATCCTTCAGAAATCAAATACGTTGATTTTCTGCTCATCGTTGCTGAATAGAAAGTTCAAAAGAACAGCATTTATTTAAAACAAAAATCTTTAGTAACACTATAAATATCACTTTTTTATCAATTGAATGTGTCCTTGCCGAGTAAAAGTATTAATTTCTTTCTAAAAAAAAAAAAAAAAGCCTACAATTTTCAACAATATATATTTTTTATTTTATTTTGTCTTTTTAATAAAAACACTTTTAATAAAAACTAAACTGATTCTGTAATGACTTTTTTTTCTGTAATGAAAACCAGCATCTGATATAATATATTTGGTCTGCCATTTTATTCCAAACGTTATAATTAGTCTAGTATATGTAGGCTTATGCTTTAGTTTAACAACTTACAACAATGCTCAAATATTCAGTAGAATGTACATTTACTACATTTGACAAAATGCTTGATGCTTTGGCACATGAAGGTGACTCTTCCACAGTGATGCTGCAAGAGAAGTGTGCGTTTTTCTCTGCCATCACCAAAAACAAACAAAACATTAGGATTCCAGACAAAAAGAACCAAATGGGGGAAAAACGAATGAGTTAAACATCACAATATAGGGATAACAACCAATGGAGATTCCACACCACTCACTGAAAGTATAACTGGTGTGTTTTGCTATCAAACAAATCATTGAAAAGAAATGAACAGTATCTGGTGCATCTACAGAGATGAGATGGAGCAGATACAACAGCACTGCTGCAGAGAGGACAACACATAAAGAAAATCAAAGGGCCGGTCGGTTGGTTGGATGCAGGGAGTCTTTGTTAGCACATGAAGGATGTTTTGTTTGATTAGTCAGGTCTGTTTTGCGGGGTGAGCGGCTGCTTTGTTCTGGGTCACCTCGATAAGGCAGGGGAGGGTGGAGCTGAGTGTCCTGACGGCAGGGAGGGCATCGATGATCTCATGTGGGGGCCGTCGGGCGGCCGCTCCGTGGAGCGAGAGCGGCTGTACATGGGCCGCTCCAGTGCGGACCGCTGGTCTGCAGAACGGGACCTGTGGTGATACTCGTGCCTGTCTGGCGCTCCGTAATTCCTGGAGAAACGTGGTTGGGGGAAACAGGGCGATGTTTAGTGTGGGTGAGGTCGGTTGAGTCTCAGAACGCCGCATGGCATTCTGGGAAAGCACTGAGAGGAGAGACTCTAACAGCTCATGATAAAGTTGTGTCGTCTTTGGCACTTGGATGCAACCAATATATGAGTCTAACCCCATGGTTCTGTACAGTGATATACGACGCGATTTAATAAGACTGAAGGATACATTATAAAAGCATAATTAAATTCAGATTAGGACAATGAAATCCAAAATCACAAATTTTACAGCACTCAGATCACAGATGCATACAAATATACAAGAAATAGATTAAACAAATTAATTAATTATTATTAAAAACTGTGGAAGGAAAGATTACTCTCAGATTATTCCCACATTTTTACAGAAGGAAAAATCCCATCCATTTTATTCAGAGAGAAAAAGATTTTCACAGATAATGTAAAATATCACACAGGATTTCTGCAGGTTTTATGAAAGTAAATGTAAGACTTTTTAAGATGTTTTTAAGGCCAAGTAAAAAACATTTAAGGAAGAAATTGAATGGAGCACAATATGACAATAATGAAATGCAGAGCACAAATTTCCAAATATGTTCTTCATCAGTATTTTTGTCTCGTTTCCCGTGCAAATGTTTGAAGATTCTTAAATCAAGTGGCATTTACTTAAGAAGCAAAATTACATAAAATGAGAAGTCTGCCTTAATTTGTGGAAGGAAAAAATAAGGATTTTTAGGAAACTTAAAGACCTGCAGAAACCTTGCTTTCAGGACAGTCCTCCTTATCACTTACTGATGGTTTTGTTTGTTTTAAATCCCTATGGAGAAAATGAATGGGAAACCAACACTGCTTAAAACATTTGGCACAGTATAACATACTAAAACACAAGACGACACAAAAAGATGTGTAGTGTCTGAAAAGTTGTCCAGCATCAAAACACTAATTTATTAATAATACATTGAGATAAATAAAGTGACACTGTAAAAAAAGGCTGTTAAACACAAAAAAATATATGTAAAAAATGAATAAAAATATTTCTTAAAAAGGAAAATTTTTATAGAAAATAATATCTGTAAAATAATATTTATATTTAAATGATAGACAGATTGAACAGTTAAAAAAATACTGAAAAATGAAATAAACAAAATATACACAAAACGAAAGATCAGGGAATGGGTTTAGGACATGAAAAGCTGCACAAGCTCTCATTTTAATTTAATATTATTAGCATTACAGTATTTTAAGCCCATAATTTTGTATTGTAATATTTTGAAAGGTCAAAGAATAACAGCCAAAATCAGCTGGTAACTTTAATTATAAAAGAAAAAAAAAACAATCATGCTAAAGGCACAAAATGTGCTACTATTTGTTGAGGAAATAGAAAACGTGAACGTGGTCACAGTATACTTTAAAATTACTTTGTTTAAGAGCACGTGTTAGCCATTTACCACTGTAACCAACAATAAAGCGACATCTTCACTGTTTTGCTTGTTTTGGGACAAAATGTTCCTTGGTGTAGGCAGGGACGGATTAACGCACGGGCCTACCGTGCAACTGCCAAGGGCACTAAACCAGAGGGGGGCCCAGTCGAAATACTGCTCCTCCAGGAACGCGATTTCAATCGTGCCCCCTCAGGATTTTAAGCAAAGTGGATTTTGAATGCAGCTTCCAAAGTTAATATTATTAGCATTACAGTATTTTAAGCACATAATTTTGTATTGTAATATTTTGAAAGGTCAAAGAATATCAGCCAAAATCAGCTGGTAACTTTAATTATAAAAGAAAAAAAAACAATCATGCTAAAGGCACAAAATGTGCTACTATTTGTTGAGGAAATAGAAAACGTGAACGTGGTCACAGTATACTTTAAAATTACTTTGTTTAAGAGCACGTGTTAGCCATTTACCACTGTAACCAACAATAAAGCGACATCTTCACTGTTTTGCTTGTTTTGGGACAAAATGTTCCTTGGTGTAGGCAGGGACGGATTAACGCACGGGCCTACCGTGCAACTGCCAAGGGCACTAAACCAGAGGGGGGCCCAGTCGAAATACTGCTCCTCCAGGAACGCGATTTCAATCGTGCCCCCTCAGGATTTTAAGCAAAGTGGATTTTGAATGCAGCTTCCAAAGACCAAAAATGTTTATATTTGATACGATTAGAACGTTCAGTGCAGCTCAGAATCAGCTGCCAAATTCAAATGTGCGTTCGTGCTTTGGCTGGCACTGAGCCAGACGCTTTTTTACAGTGCTGAGCATTATAACCAATCACACAGGATTCTGTTGAGCTTATGAATGCAATGGCCAATCAGAGGCATTCAGATGAGTCATCACTGAAAAGCCTGTGTTTTGTTCAGTGCGAGCGCTCGCTGACTGAATGCTGCTCTCTGGCGAATTCTCTCATCATAAACAAAGTGCAGATGTGTGCACGATGTAAGTAAGATATTCATTTCACAGTATAAACAGCTTCAGTGATTATAATGGGAGTTGTTGAGAGTGCTTGAACTCTGTCTAGACTGAAGTTAATATTCTTTGATAATGCAAATATTCTTTGCTCTCTTTATGTACAATGAAAGTGTTATAATTACTAACTTACAATGTTTTTATAAAATTTACGTTAAATACAAAGTCAGTCGTATTAAAAATATTCTATGACATGACACCCATATCTAGTACAAGTTAAAAGACGGGTTTTATGCATAGGCTAGTTAATAGATTACACTAATATTAGGCTACTTTCCCCATAGCCCATTATAGATAAACTAACATGATCTATAAATGTGCAAAATGCATTTACTTATATTTGAGAATCGTGATATTTTATGATATAGTTAACAAGTTTGGGAAAATTTTGAATAAAAAAGGAACCAAATTTTCAACCGAGGGGGGCCTTTAATCGGTCCGTGCCCAGGGCACCACTGTGTCATAATCCGTCCCTTGGTGTAGGAAAATTTATGCTTTAAACATGGACAAACTACAGTAGTCAACATTTGAAGTGGATCAAAACCTTTCTTCAAAGTTGTCCTAAAACCAAAACAATACTACTGTATTTACAAACAGGTTAAGAAAAATAAACTTAATTAAAAATATATTCAATAAGCAAAAACATGAGCCAAGATGAGGGCTGTGCTAAAGACATGGGTTTTTTTGGTAGTGAAATTGGCCCAGCTCATGACAGGGCAGCAGGGATGCTCTCGGTGTTGGATATCATCCCATATAATGTCTTCATCCTGAAACAAAAAGGCTGTCGACATTTTAGACAGGCCATAAATGGCTGACCCCAATAGACTGCAGCACTGGTACCCCTCCATGTCACTGTACGCCTCTATGATGGGCCATCCTAGCAGGCCGCGGTAACCTGACCACCACCCGCTGATTGATGGAACACACACTATTGCCACGGCTGCCAAAAAGACACAGATATTTGGAACTGACCACATAAACCATCAGAGTGTGCATTACACACACCCTCAACTTCATCAGGGTTTAAAGGAATAATTCACACAAAAATGAAAATTCATTCACAGGCCAACCAAGATGAAGATAAGTTTGTTTCAGAACAGATTTGGAGAAATGTAACATTGTATCACTTGCTCACCAATGGATCCTCTGCAGTGAATGGGTGCCGTGAATGCAGGTTTTCAACAAAATAGTATCAAACTGGTTTTATCTTATCATGTCATGATTATAAATGTATTGCACTGAAAACCTGGATTCGTTCAAGTTCAGAGGAAGTTTGGGTTTGAAAAACACTGATGTGTTAGTGGAGGCTCTCAGCAGGGAGGTTAATGGGGACGGACGTTGGCAGCAATGGCTCTACCTGAGTTCCTCCAGCTGACTGTCATGAGGCTGACTGTGTCGGGTTCGAGGTAAGGTGAGAAAATGACTGCAGGCAGATGGAGAGAATAGACGTGGATTTTCAAAAGAGAGATGAAGAGATTTGAGGGAAGAGAGAGGATCACGTTTTCGGTGAAACTGATGATTATGATGGGATGAACCCAAACTTTTCACGTGGAAGAAATGTGGTTACTGTTCAATGACAACAACACTCACACTTCTAGCTGTATCAAGAACAAAGATCATTTTAAACGAGTGTTATGATAATCCCAATAAAGGGCCCTAGAAAACAGGATTTCCTTGCACTTTATTAAAACCAAGCTGTGCAATCAATCAGATAGATAGATAGATAGATAGATAGATAGATAAACAGACAATAAATAACAATAAATGAAAGAAAGAAAGAAAGAAAGAAAGAAAGAAAGAAAGAAAGAACGAACGAAAGAAAGAAAGAACGAACGAAAGAAAGAACATTACATTATAGGTGGACTTCAGGATTAAAAATATTACAAAATATAGGACCCTGCGCACAGCATAAATCTTTTTAAAAAATCTAAAAAATAAAAAATAAAGTTTCAAAACTTGCTTGCTTATTAGGAGCCCTAAATAAATCTTCAACAAACAAACAAACAAACATAAATATAAATAAATAATATTAGTAATAACACCAAACAGCTGATAAATACATCACAATAATCCACAAATAATCCACACCACGCCAGTCCCACAATTTTAACAACATGTGAAGGTAAAAGCTGCATATTTTTATAACAAATCCATCATTAAGGCATTTTAACTTTGAGCTGTCACTTCTGGACAAAATATCCATAATCCATAATAATGCTTCCTCCAGTGAAAAAGTCCATCCTCTGTTGTTCAAAATCCACTGAAATATTTGTTTAATGTTATGTTTTATGAACTAACTTGGACTGTTTTCACTTGATCTGTGCATATTTCTCTCCTGCTTCAGACGAAACAACTTTTTCGCTAGAGAAAAGCAATATTACTAATAGAGGACTCGTATTTTAGATAGAAGCAACTGTTTGAAGTTAAAAACGTCCTAATGATGGATTTGTTTCTTACAAACACGCAGCTTTTCACTTCACAAGCTGTTAATTGACGGACTGGAGTGGTGTGGATTACTTGTGAATTATTGTGATGTTTTTATTAGCTTTTTTGGTGCAATCAATCAGATAGATAGATAGATAGATAGATAGATAGATAAACAGACAATAAATAACAATAAATGAAAGAAAGAAAGAAAGAAAGAAAGAAAGAAAGAAAGAAAGAACGAACGAAAGAAAGAAAGAACGAAAGAACGAAAGAAAGAACATTACATTATAGGTGGACTTCAGGATTAAAAATATTACAAAATATAGGACCCTGCGCACAGCATAAATCTTTTTAAAAAATCTAAAAAATAAAAAATAAAGTTTCAAAACTTGCTTGCTTATTAGGAGCCCTAAATAAATCTTCAACAAACAAACAAACAAACATAAATATAAATAAATAATATTAGTAATAACAACAATAAACAAACAAACAAACTTGCCTAAAATTACAAGATTTCAAGGTGAAAAACCACCACAAAATGTAAAAGAATAAAAATAATAATGGCAATGCTTGCTGGCTTACTAAAAAACAAAAAAACAAAAAAAAAAAACTACCTAAATAACCTTTTACTAAACATAAATATATCGAATATAGATACGGCTTTGTGACTCGGATGCATGATCATTGTTGTTGATTCAGTGATACAAACACACTGTTGTTACACTAGATCTTGTGTACTGTTGGGTTCTTGAATCAGATGTTAATGATAAACCAAAACTCTTAAACTGTGATTCTGATGTTTACGAACAGAAAAGGTTCAGACAACAGAAGAGAGATCTGTCTTACCTCTGAGAAGGGGGCATGCTGGGAGACCGTGAACGTGCTCGGTTGATGTCAGCTGACCGAGAGCAGTGATTGGACGATAAGACCTGCTCAGGCACAGAGAGGGTGGAGCTCTGGAGGTCCCTGCCGTTTCTATAGTCTGTAACGAAGCAAAGGGAAAGAATTAATGAACAATTGTGCACTAATTTTTACTACATGTGTACTTCATTTTGAGCAACTAATGCAAAACTGTTAAACCCTTTACTGATAGCAATTTAAACACGCTTTAATAAAGTCCTGCAAGCAAAAATGTTTAATCATACTAGATTATCTATTTAACACCATGTGTTTTTTCCCAATAACTGGGTCTTAAATGGCTGTAAAACTTGCTTTTTAAAGCCAATATGTTATAGTCATGAATGAACTTAACTCCCATTAAATCAGAAAACAGCTTTCACAACCAAAACCAGAATAATCATTACCCAGCATTCAGTGTGGCCACGCTAAGGTCAGTGCCTCGCATGATTACAAAAGACTGATGTTCAACTGACTGTATCGCACATTAAAACAAGCCGAACAAAGGTGGAACAATGTATCAAAGAGAAGTTCAAGGAGGGAATTTCTGCCTTTATGATGGCTTATTATTTACTTTTTATTATGATCTAAGAGCTGATTCTAATAGAGCTTGATGTTTTCATGTTGCTAATGGAATATGTACCAACCACAAATGTTTGATAAAATAGTCAATTTTAAACTATTTTCTCAGTTTTAAATTATATATATATATATATATATATATATATATAATATTTGTGTCTTAATGTATAATTAATAGAGGACTCGTATTTTAGATAGAAGCAACTGTTTGAAGTTAAAAACGTCCTAATGATGGATTTGTTTCTTACAAACACGCAGCTTTTCACTTCACAAGCTGTTAATTGACGGACTGGAGTGGTGTGGATTACTTGTGAATTATTGTGATGTTTTTATTAGCTTTTTTGGACTCTCATTCTGACGGCACCCATTCACTGCAGAGGATCCATTGGTCAGCAAGTGATGTAATGAAAAGAAACAAACTCCTCTACATCTTAGATCATCTGAGACGAAGTACATTTTCAGCAAATCTTAATTTTTGGGTGAACTATTCCTTGATCACACAACATATCTTTGTTAAAGTGTTTTATCCAAAGAAAAATAATTTTTAAAAAATCCAGATCAATGTACATTATAGTGAATAACACATGCTGAACAACTTTTCACACAAAACACCAAGTTAGAGACAACACAAACAAAGCGAAACTATGATCCCATTATTAAGCTCGATTTAGTGAAGTACTGTATTTATAAATTCCATTTTACATAATTTCTCAGTTTGTTAAAACAAAGCATGAGCTAGCTGTAAAAATAAGTGCTCAGTTTCTTTATGATGACCTAATGAGAGAATGACAATGAGGCTTTAGGAATGAGTTAAAGGCATACAGTATCTCACCATTCTTACAAAGACAGAAGCTTGTTAGGTTTAATGGTGAATATATTTTCCAACTCTTTTTGGAAAATGTATACATTTGCAGGGACTGTGTACATTAGGACAGAGGGGTGCTCTTAATTCAGCTTGTTTTGTTTGTTTATCTTTACAGCAAATGTTTCCTAGCTTTTCAGTCATTCAACCTTGTGTCGACATTAAAGAGTCACTGGTGACCTGTTGATTCGATGTGCACAAAGCAATTTTTTCACACATTAAAAAAAGTTTAGTTTCAAAAAAAAAAGTCTAAAAAATTGTTTTTAAATATTTGCAATTAAAATTCATTTAATAATGAAAATTAATGATTAAAATAAAATTATTTATATTATTAACATCCAGCAGTAATACTACTACTACTAATAATAATAATACATTAATTTAATAATAATAATGTTTCACATTTTTAACAAATTATTTCTGAAATAATGTTTTTTTTATTTTTGTGCTTTAAGCTATAATAATTTATTTTCAATTACAGACATAATTCATTCAATACAGAAAAGTAGTGATTAAAACAAAGTATTAGCATTTAAAATATTGAAATAAATCCGTGAGGAGTGCTATTTTTATGACGCATGACGTATGAAAAAAATAAGTTGTGGAATAAATTAATAATCACAAGTGAAAAAAGTGGGGGAAAATCGGAATTTTCGTAGTGGCATTGGCAAACCAAAATTATTTGATTTTGCATGATGCTGCATCCACAATATGTCAAATAACA